TAGATCCCACAGGAATCGAGATTGGCCTTTTTGTAACTAAAGGTGCGCTCGCTGCAGCGCCCTACGGCTGCCAATCCTTTCTGAGCTCCGCCTCCGCCTGTGCTCCGCCCCTCAGCAGATCGCTGTTCGATTATCATTCTGATAAGGTATGCCACTTCGAGCGCGTATCCAATTTTTCTCATGGAATGCTATATCAATCAAGGTATGATCTCTGGTGGTATGATGGCAGCTATGGTTTAACGAGTGCCGACGACCTCTTAGTTGGTTGCCAACTCGTCCATTATCGGAGGTCAACGGGCAGAGGAAGTGGTCCCATTTTGCGCGTTTTTGACGGATTTCTTTGCTTTTTTCGCTACTAGGGCATTATTCAGCATCTTCACTTCCACTATGAGCACAACAGAATCCTATCGCAATCTCTCGCTTTAAACCATATCATTATCCATAGAAAATCATGCATTCTATTTCAGTGAAATTCAGTGTACACGTGACTTCGAAAAAGCGTTCTTTTCTAATTAGGTCCTGTTGCGCGTTGACTTTTAGTAGCGGTATTGTATACTGAAGGATATCCTTCTATTTAGGTTGCAATTTCATTGAGCTACGTAGCCTAGCCGTAATCTACGCAAAACTTACTTTCGTTCGTTCAAAACGCCTGTCATTCGTGGAGGTACTATGAAATATAAAGTTTGGTGAAGACTCAATTTTAGGCGTTATTTTCCTAATTATAAATATCCTAATTAATTTACTTTCATTTTTCATTCATTACTTTTTTTTTACTTTTTTTTACTAATTTTTTCATTACTGGCCGTTACTCAGTTTCAGAAGCTGAGTAAAATGTAACTTATACCGGTACGCTACAGTATGTCTAGAGATTTTATGAAAAGCTTTGAGTTTTTGAGGCCTTGCATGTCACTCCTGCTCTATCGTGATTTACAGTCAATATTTAATGTATTTGTTAGTTGATAAAGATGGGCTCTGCTTGTTTTCGCTACCTTTTCTATACAAACTGTCTTGGGTGATAAATAGCCATAAAACTCACCAATGTCGGCCATCAGACCCCAGCCTACGCTGAGGAATGAAGCGATATTGGTCTCTGCTGTTTGTACATGAATCAGGTTAACGGCTTGCGCATGCGATCCAGGTGAACAGCTGACATCTATCGCTCGTTCGGTAAATTTGGGATTTTTCAACGGCTCACTGGAATACATAGAGATCACGCCCTCAGCTTAAGAATGGACTGGAAGTTATCCCTCTTCTGTAATAGAGCTATAGCTGTGCTTATTCAACAGCTATCATCTCTAGAAGTGATCAACATAATACAGAGATTTGTTGGAGCTGGCTCGAGGTTTGATCCTAGGACCATGTTCAGACTATCTAATATGAATTCAACCCATCCCTCAAGGAGGGGTCCTGCTCCCAAAAAGCTTGTCAAATTGCGGAGGTACGTACGTACTTGCACTACCAAGAGTCAAAGGGCTAACATCGCGCTAAGCAAATAATGTAGTTTGTGTACCCACTTTGGCTCATTGCGAGAATGAGGTAGTGATTGTGTACTTTTGGACAGATAGCGTCTCATCGAAAAGCTGGTAGTCAGGCACAAGGAAAACATCGAGACTCTTAAAGGATAAAGGATAAAGCATTTGCCGTTGATCAATCCCTTTTGGGATGCGGCACGCATTCTACTTCCATTTGTACATTCGTAGTGGCGTTTGAATGCGATGTGGCCTATACAATGACTTGCGGGGGCCAGCCGATGTACAAGTCAGTGTTTTTATCCTCCCAGACAAGTCTGGTACCAATTAACCGACCCCGGAGGGATGGAAGGCTTGGTTGGCCCGGGCGA